CAGTACACGACAACACCCCTGAAATTCTACAGCTTCAACGCGACACCCTTGTCTCGCATCTCAACCTCAGCATGAATGCCCAACTTGAACTCCATGGTTCCGAATGCCATTCTACAAAAACCATAACTCATAACCACAAACCCTGTGAAGCCCAACACCACAAAAACCAGGCATTGCGTCTGCAGAATCACAACAGAGACCAAAGAGTATATCTGCCAGAGATAAAGCGACCACTGCTTCCAGAGAGCCCAAGAACCCTACGAGCGCTCAGCAGCCCCCCTTTCCTGCCGTGCTGCCGCTTGATCGATCCGAAACCACCCCGGCAGAGCTCATGTCCCCCATGGAGTCTAGAACGACCTGAGCGTTAGGGGTTTGGTGGGTTGAAGTACTGTTGCTGCAGCCACCATCCCGATTCCGACACCGGCAACCTGACTTAAAACTACCCATGAAACTTGAAACGAGGCTTGTACGCCTGAATCAAGTACGGTTTTGTTGCTCTGGGTTTGCATGTCTCCGGGTTTTCGGTGGTTCTCATTGAGTGGTCTTGCCGGGCTTCTGGTTTTCGGCTTGTGCGGCTCAGAAACTATGCAGTTGTGAGGGCGATAGCAGGGTTCACATCCACTTGGCCTGACCCTGTCTGAAATAATTTCTAGAAAATGGAGGAAAACATACTTTCCCTGAATATGTTATTGTAAAAACCTTAAACTTCAGTCTTTCAGAATGTGAGGACGATTTGCGAAAGATCGACGAGTCTAAAGCTCGGGCTCCTGACCGCAAGTGACGCTGCAACCTTATGAACGCCTGAAAGCCTTAAACTAGAAGCCACAAGCAGCCAACAAAATGCACACCTTAGTCCATAATAATGACCATCACAAAAACCCCTAAACCCCAAACTTCCACCCTATTCCCTAAACTGAAACCCTAAACCCCTAAACCTTCACCTTAAACAAGCTCGGTAGATTTGAAAGCCCTGGGTGGCCTCGAGGTCGGCAACTGCTGGAGGTCGGCCCAGCAGCGCTAGCTTTGGGCCGCCTTTTTGGGGTTTAGGGGTTTAGGGTGTAGGGTTCAGGGTTTGGGGTTTGGGGGTTTAGGTTTGGGGGTTTAAGGTTAGGGTTTAAGGGTTTAGGGTTTAGGGGTTTAGGGTTTAGGGGGTTTAGGGTTTGGGGTTTAGGGTTTGGGGGTTTAGGGGTTTAGAGTTTAGGGGTTTAGGGTTGGGGTTTAGGGTTTAAGGGAATAGGGTTTAGGGTTTGGGGGTTTAGGGGGTTTAGGGGTTTAGGGGTTTAGGGTTTGGGGTTTAGGAGTCTGGGATTTAGGGTTTATAGTGTTCAGGGATGAGGCTTTCTAGGGATGTTTACCGTGTTGGGTGGACTTGTGTGCAATGAATTCCGTTGTGTCATGGCCTTTTGAGCTTAGCCTTGTTCAACCTTGTTCTGATTGTGGCTTTCTTTGCTTGTTGTTTGCTTGCCAAGCGTTTAGGGGTTTGAAGCTTTTAGGAGGACTTGATGGGTAACTTATAGCCCATCCTGCTGGGTGATTCTAGATTTACAAAGTAGCTGGGTTGAAGGCTGCCAAGAGCCTTGTAGGCTCTGTTCGTCTGTTTGTTAGGTTTTGAAGCGCTACGTACAGATGTTATACTTATACGGCCAAGGGCAACTCTCTCTCTCTCTCTCTTTCTCTCTCTCTCTCTCTCTCTCTCTCTCTCTCTCTCTCTCTCTCTCTCTCTCTCTCTCTGTGTGTATATATATATATACATGTACACACGCATGTCTTTTGAATCAATCTTTAGAGACTACATACGATGACATAGAACCTGATAAAACCTAATGTGTTTTTGCAGTTTTGCTTCTGAAGGGCCTGCCGGCTTCGCGTCTGCTTGCCGTGCCAGTGCCGTGGGCGATGGCAGCTGTGTGGGCCTTTTTTTTTGCGGTCAGGGTTCAGGCTTGTTTGAAGGGTTTAGTATTTGCGGTTTAGGGGTGCGGAGTTTGAAGGTTCAGGGCTAATAGAGCTTCCGGTTAGAGGTTTGACGGCTTAGGGCTCGGGCTTCCTACTAGAATGACTTGAAGCACAAAGCCCACAAGCCCTTCTTTAATTCAGGGAGCTGTAACACGGGTATCTCCCGATGATGCTTCGTAAGTCGATCCTCATGCCTGCCAACCCTGACCAAACCCCCAAAGCCGTAACCCCCAAAGCCCCAGACCCTGATCCCCTAAACTCCCCTCTTTCTTTCGGCACACGTCATCTTCAGCTTTCCCCGAGAGAGCTCACTGCCCCTTCAGTAAAGAGGGCAGGTGGAGAGGTCTTTAGTCTGAGTTTTAGTCTTACCCAGAGAGCCCAATACCCCTTAATCCAGGAATATAGCTTAAATCATAATATGAAGCCCTATATAGTTTCAGTTTAAGCCATATTCCTTAATTAAGGGGTATTGGGCTCTCTGGGTAGATATTCGCCCCACTTACGGGGTGTTGGACTCTCTTGTAGAGCAATGCTACCTCCAATAGAAACCCTCCGTTATGCAGGCACCTCTATGGATATTCTATCACAAACACCCCGCGTGTCGGCGCGGCTAGCTGGCCTGTCGTCGTCCTTTCGGGTCCTTGGTAGCACCCGAAACAATCAGAACCACAGCATTTAAACCCGGGACTTCTCTTCCTACTTTTGGAACTGGTACAGTGTTACAGGCTAGCGCTAAAAGCCGCAGTTCCGGAATGTACAAAAGACAGCGGTCTCCTGATGGGGATGCCGGAGAGCCAGCTTTCTCCATAAGCAGAAAACAAGTTCCTGTCACTTTCAGAGCACCGAGCTATGGTTCTAGGTGTCGCACGAAAACTGGAAAGTACGTTGCACTTGGAACCCATGGCCCTCAACCCTGCACCATATCCCAAACCTACTATTGGCTTTTTTGTGCGTTGTTTTACCCTGTGAAAACGGAAGATGTGCGGATGTTCAATAAAAGGTTTGAAGTACTTCCAATTACTTCCAACCAAGGTGACGCACCATGTTCATGAAACATGCCAATTGCCTAAGCCCTACTGTGAGCCCGTATGAACCCCTGCTGCAAGTTCTGAACAGAAACAGCACTCTGGATACAGCCGAGATTCCGCGTCTTCGGCGACGATTCGCTGCTGGATGGTGCTGTACTAGGGGTCGCTGACCTAAGTTCAGCGTCTGGTGGCATAGAGTTTTAGGGTTTACGAGTTTGGGCACTATAGGCCGCAACACATCACAACGGAGTCAGTATTATCTCCGTGGTACTGAGTTTGCTCCGTGAATGTTTAGGGTTTATATAAGGTGTTCCAAACCCGGAAAATCCCGGAATCCAACGTTCAGGACTCTAAGCACTTGACATCCTAAATCCGTCTGCCTAGACTCCTAAGCCCTAACCCTCCAAAACGCGGCCCCGTGACATGTACCCGCCAGTGGCAGGCATGGGCAGCTTCTGTTCCTGGCAACGGCTATTCAATCTCCTAACTTAGGGGTTTAGGGTTCAGGGTTTAGGACTCCTAACTTCAAGTGTGCCTGCCGAGCATAGCAATCCGGCTCTTCCATGCAATATCGCTCGCGTCCGGTTTTGGATTTAAGACTTCTACACACCTTAACTTCTATAATCCCTAAACCCTAAACCCTCAAGACAGGGTAAATAGAAGAAATTGTATGCCATGAAGGTCTAGAACTGAGGCTCGCAAACACGAGTGCATGGCCGAACTACCGTGTGCAGGAGCTTCAAAGATTCAAAGGGGAAAAGGAGGCACCCTTAATGGGGACCTCTACCCTATAATGGGCTATATGATGGGTATAAAATAGCTATATTAAGGGTATATACCTAGGGGTCCTTATTAAGGGTCCCTCCTTTTACCCTTGGAAAGATTCAAGATCTGCGTTAGCGCTCCATGCTGATAATGCCACTACTCAGGAATAGGGTGACCGACACACCTACTCCCACGCCTGCTCCTGCCCTGCTACTCCTACGATTGCTGCACTTGCTGCTGCTACTGCCGCTACGGCTGCGGTACGGCTATTTCTATAACAGCTTTTTCCACTGCTGCTCTTGCTCTGATTCCTGTCCCTGCCTCCTGCTCCCAATACTGCGACTCATGACGACGACAACGAAGACGTCGACGACGACAACGACGACTACTCCACCACCCGACTACCCGAAACAATATTCGCAAATTCAACGCTGACTGCTTCATGAGCCTGCCCGACGCAGATCAATAGCGCCGAATGGTCTGGAAAAGCATCCGCGGAAAGCGGCAGCAGCCAAAGCGAAGGTACTGCAGGCCGGGCTTTGATTCATCAGGAACGCTGCTGTTGAATGTGGTCTTGCTTTTGAGGTGGCTGACAGGATCATGAAAGTAAGCTCTAGGCGTCATGGGTCATGGCGTCGCGTGTTTCCGACAGACGGGACTTTCCACTGGAGCCCTTCAGACGGAAACCTCTCAGCACTGCCGTGCTGCGGAGACTTAATGTTGCAACTCCGGAACGGAAGCCCTACCTGATGCCTCGCGACGATCGTAGATTCGCATATCTCTCGTTTAAGAAAGCTGCAAGTCATACTCAGACATTTGCTTTTATTTAGGTTGTGGTTTAGTGTCCTGAGGGTATCCGAAGATCCTAAACCCCCAAACCCTAAATCCCCTAAACACAAACCCTAAAGCCTCAACCCTTATATCCTGTATAGGATCCCTTTTATAGCTATTACAGCCCTATACCCAAACCGCGGCCGTACTAAGACTTAAGAGGCAGTCCTGCGCTGGGCCCCTCGGCAGCGGCAAAGCCCTCTGCCCCAGGTGCCTCAAAGTTAGACTAAGCCCTAAACCCTAAACCCTAAGCCTGCAAACAGCAGCAGTGGCACATAAAAGTGACAGTCGTCATCAAGGTCATGGTGATGCCTGATGGTGATGATTAGTTCTGATGGTACGGAATAGCCAATACGTATGAATATGGACAGATACAGATTAAGATGCAAGGGGTCGCTGTGGTAATTTTGGCGGCGTTGGTCATCACGCGCGGTTGCTGACTGAATTAAGGATGTTGACGAAATGGGGATGTTGCTGGCAGCAGTGATTCTTCGTGATGGCGATGGCAGTGACGGTGATGAGGACGAGGATGTTCATACCAGGTGCAGTGGCGTAGCGTCGAGCAACTCAATGTCATTGGGAGGGAATTAGCCGAATTAGCTGCCGTGCTCCCAGCTACTGAGCTCTCGCCACCAAAATGAAGCTGCATGTCTGCACAAAAACAAAAAAGGTAGAGAGTAAAGTTCTTACTAAAGGCTAACCAACTGGACAGACCGCGACTAACACACAGTCCCTACAGAGAGGGCATCACATCCTCAAAGAGTCCACTTGCTGGACACTATTGAGGCCCCATGTTCGGCTTGCGGGATTGAGGATCTGCGGTTTAGTCATTCTATAACTCCGATGTCGACGCGTTGCTAGTGCTCATCTCTGCAATTTAAACTTTCCGAGCCTAGCTGCCGGGCTAGAGAACCTTAAGTACTAAAGGCTGATGCCACGTGCAAAATACATCGGCAAATACATGAGATGTGCATGTACATATGTATGTCTGTAGGGGGGTATGAAGGTAGGCGGGCAGGCTTGCAGGTAGGTAGGTGGGTGGGTAAGTAACAACTGGTAACAGCGTATTTATGTATGTCCAAAACAATTCCGATATGGGTTAGTACACATAAACAGCGAAGGTTCTACCGTCTTGTGCCTGCCCAGTCAGCAATGCCGCCACGCCCTTGGCAAGCCTCATGACCATGTCACATGGCACAGGGTGTACGGCTCAGGGTTCAGGGTTTAATCCGAACCCTGAAGCTCCATGTGCCTGTATCTTTTCGTGTATTATTATATGCATATATGTCTATAAAAATATATGTATATATACATATATATATATATACTTAAGCTTTAAAGGGTCGAGGTACTCTGAGGCATACGTGGAGCCTTACGGGGAGTCGAGTCCTCAAAGACGGGGCCGCTTATGTCTGGCTTCAATTCTGAGCCGTAGGCAAGGATCACACAAGGCGTCGAAGCCTTCATACTGCGACGTCAAACGATTAGTAAACATACACGTCGCGGGAAGGACTGCATGACCATTTAAAGCCGCCCTGGAGGAACTGCTTGAAACCCTCATTTCGAGTCTTGCATTTGGGTTCCACATCCTAGCCTCACTAACTTCTTCTCCTGGCAGGCACGGTGAAGCCTCGGCCCCGATACAACTCAATTCCCAACACCACAAAAACCAGGAACCCTGAACCCCGAAACCCCAAAGCCGAGCTGAGCAGAGACAACTTAGACCGGCGCACAGTCATCCTCCCGATTGGTAATTTCAGTTTGGACACTGCCATCACCTGCTTGTTTTGGCGATTTCGGGAGGTTACGGAGGGGGCTTCGCATCCAGGGTGTGGGGAGGTAAGGTTGTTGTGGGTGGGTAATATAGGAGCCTGAATAATTACCAATACTGGTTTGGGGGTCCTTATTGCTGGCATAGCATAATATACCCCAAAACCCTATTCTAATTTCTCCGGCCCCAAAACCCTATTCTAATTAAATTACCTACAGACTCCAGGCAGAGAGTTCCAAACAGGGATCTGATCAAGGCCGCTGTTAGCTTCCTTACTCAGGCGGGGTTCGGGTCCAGGTTTTGCTTGAATGGTCTAGAAACTTGAAACACGATGTACTCTGTGTATATATATATATATACACACACTTCTAATCCATATATATATATATATGTATATTATTTGTATTTATGTTTAACAAACATATATTTTTCTCACCCTATATGTGTGTGCGTGCATATCTATATATATATATATATACACACACACACACACACATCTGCGTCTATCAATCTCTACCTACCTATCTCTCTCTCTCTCTCTCTCCCTCCCTCCCTCGCTGTCTTCTCTCAAGCTTGTCGGAAACTAGCCTGAGAGTGCTCGTGACAGTCACCGGTTTCGAAGACAATGCCGGCTTGTGGAAAACGGATGCTTCAAGGCCCTTAGTCTTGCATATTTTTGTGGGTATGTTAGCGGCCTGAATAATTAGAACATGTAAAATTATATCTATAACTATAAACAGGAGCCCCCAAAGTGGCATTGGTAATTATGTAAGCTCCTGTATGAGCATCTGCCTGCTTTGTTGAGTGGGGCTTTGCAGGATTGAGATGTGCCATATCTGCGACGGAAACTGAAAAAGAGAGAAGATCCTTGTAGCCTCAGCAGAAAGACACTGGTAACAAGCTCATTCCATACACAACACCACGCCATCCTCAACTCCAAAACCTAAGTTGCCCCATCTAAAAGCTAAATTTCCTACGCCCTGAACCTTAAACCCTAAACCCTAAACTCCTAAGCCCTAAATCCAAAACCCCTAAACCCTAGAGTTTAGGAGGGCTTAAGGTTTTCGGTTTAGGATAGTTGTAGGTTTTAGGGCCGCTTCCTAAACCCTACTCATTCAACTAAACCCTAAACTCTAAACCCTAAACCCTAAACTCTAAACTCCTAAACCCAAAACCCTAAACTCTAAAACACTAAACCCTAAACTCTAAATTCAGAACCCTAAACCCCTAAACCCTGCGCATTCAACAAGGGGGGCCTCTTGGGGATCGAGGTTAAACCCTAAATCCTAAACCCTACGTCCTAAACTCCTAAATCCTAAACCCTATAAGTCCTAAACTCCTAAACCCTAAACCCTAAATCCTAAACCCTAAACCCTAAATCCTAAGCCCTAAACCCCTGGGCGCCTCTTGGGGATCGAGGTGCCTCTCGGCCAGCAGCTCCTGCAGGCGCCGCTCCAGCCTTGGTCTCTTCGGGTTTACTCTTCCTTGCGGGGATTAGGGGTTTGGGGGACTAATTAGGGTTTAGGGTTTAGGGATTAGGGTTAGGGTTTAGGGTGGGTTAGGGTTTAGGGGTTTGGGGTTTGTGGGCTTTAGGGGTTTGGGGTTTAGGGGTTTAGGGTTCAGGGGATTAGGAGCTTGGGGGTTTGGGAATTAGGGGTTTAGGGGTTTGGGGGACTAGGGTTTAGGGGTTTAGGGGTTAGGGTTTAGGGCTTACGGGTGGGGGTTTAGGGTGGGTTAGGGGGTTCGGGATTAAGATTTAGGGTGGGTTAGGGTTTAGGGTTAGGGTTTGGGGGTTAGATTTTATTGTTTAGGGTTTAGGGTTTGGGGGTTTAGGGTTTAGGGTGGGTTAGGGTTGAAGGGTTTAAGGGTTTAAGGTTTGGGGTTTAGGGGTTTTGGGATCAGGGTTTACGGTTTGGGGGTTAGGGATTAGGGTTTAGGGTTGAGGGTGGGTTAGGGTTTAGGGTTTAGGATTTGGGTGGTTATATAGAGGTTTTGGGTTTTGGGATTCTAGTTTAGGGTTTAGGGGTTTGGGGATTATAAAAGTTTACGGTTTGGAGGTTAGGAATTAGGGTTTAGGGTGGATTCGACGTTAGGGTTTGGGGATGAGGGATTACGGTTTAGGGGCTTTGGGTTTAGGGATCAGAGTTTTGGGCCTGGGTTCCTGTGCGAGTTATAGGGATCAAAAGGTGCTTCCGGGATTTAGATAGCTCTGTGGGGGTTCCTTCATGAGTTCCTTTCGAGGTACTATACATAGTACTACAGGGCTCTGTGCGAGCTTTACGGATCATAGAAGTCGATATTGAAACTGTCTCATCATCGGTGTTGTGTGTGTGTGTGTCTCTGTGCGCTTGCGCGCGCGCGCGCGGGTGTGTGTGTGTGTGTGTGTGTGTGTGCGCTTTTTTTTCATACTGGTTTTGCAGTTTTGCAGGGTTTTGGATTCGGGCTTCTGGGCTTCGTGGGGTTGTGGGCGTGGGTTTCCCAGGAAACCCTTTACATACAGGGATTCTACAAGAGCTTCTAAAGGTTGCTGTCTGGCGCTTACAAGGATTTCTTCAAGAACTGAAGCGTGGTTACGGTTTAGTGTCTCCCAGGTAGCCCAGTGCACCCCTTCTGCCTCGCTTAACAGTATGTAAGAGACCCGGACATTTGGACTCTAGCAGCTCGCCGTGTGATTTGCTATTCTGTTGATCTGAAAAGTTTGTATAAGGTTTTGATATCGGTTTTGTATTTCAGGTCTCATGGACTTTCATGGTCTATGAGGCTTCAGGGCGTCACGGTGCTTGGTTGAATAGGAGCCATCTCTGTAGGGGTGGATTTCACGGGGCTCGTAAGTTGAAAAAATTGGGGCGTCGGGTTTTGGAGGTTTCCGGGTGTGGGGCTTGGTGGTGAAGGGCTTATAGGGCTCAGGCTTCGAGGGCAAAGAATCCCTGAGTCTGGGGTATAGGATTCCATGCTCGAGTTTCGGGCTCATTCCAAATTCCCAAATCCCGAAACCCCTAAACCCAGTTGCAAGTGGTAATCTTCAATGAGCGTTTTATTGGGCCGCGAACTGCTCGCAATCAAACAGCATTTGCTCAAAGTAGCCCCCGAATAGAGAAAGGCTACGCTTTTTCTTACGATTTGGCTGTAATCTGGGAACCCCAAAAAAGGGTACAAGGGAACAACTGGGGAACCTAAATGGTTATGCTGGGTATCCCTTGACCCCTCAGCCCGAACGCCTAGCGGCCCAGAGGGGCTTATACCCCAAGGGTCCAAGTACCTGCTAATCATATACTCTCCAAAATCCTAACCTACATACCTATTATCCTAGAACCAGGGCATAATACTGCTTATGGAGGTTCATAGGTAGTTATAAGGGACCCTTTAAGGGTCCCTTTAAAGGGATCTATCTATAGGGATTCTATTAAAGTGTACAGGGTGTAAGGTCTACTTGGAGGTTCATGGGTAGTTATAAACGGAGTTCTAAGTCGCCTAATATGGATGATACTTATAGTTACCCTACTTATAACCGCACGTATAACTACCCATGAACCTTCAAGTATGCAAGTATGTAGGGACGATAGTGGGATTATAGTAGCGGCACACCTCTGTACTGCACGCAGGGACTGAAATGTCTAGAAGACCTCGCACGGCCGTGCCAAGAGCATCGTCAGATCCTTGTACATCACCGTCACCACCAGCATTACAACAAAAGCAACAGCTTGACACAAAGGGAGTAGGAACTTACAACAGCCTGCAGCTCTAGACATGCAACCCTTAACCTAAAACTCAACCCTTCCAAACCCCAAACCTAAAACTTCCAGAAAACAAACCTAATCCTAGAAATTCACATCCGCTGGGGGCTTCTTCAGTGGCTATGCGATGAGTTCCGGGCTGCTCAAGAAAGGCCTGGTGCACCTCCAATGTCACAATGCAGAGTTTAGGATGGCTTTGGGGGGATCCTTTTCGGGCGCTCCTTTGTTACAGGGATTCGATAAGAGCTTATAGAATTTTGAGTTACAGCTCTTAAGGCTTGGGGCGGGGGATGTAAAAGTGTCTAGGGTTGGGTTTAAGGTTTCTGCAATGGGGGGCGGGGGGGGGGGGGGGGGCGTTTATGCTTCCAAGACGACTTAGGACAGGCTCTGCACTTACCGGCCGGCATTCCCGCTGGCAGCCAAAGAATCGAAACAACATACAAAGACATCAATGGTCTATGGGGTTCAAGGACGCCTCGCGCAAGCATGCTGCGTGCCTGACTTTATGATAAGGACCTTACAGTTCGGGATCTTCTTAGGGTCCGTATTCATGAATGGAGGCGGCTACTAGAAAGACAAGAGATCAGAGCATATGTCGCGCTCTTCCAAAACAATGGTATATAACCCTAAACCCCTAAACCCCCTGAACCCTCTAGGATGTTTCGAACATCATACTCGAAACCACCAATTCCATGATGGCGAGAGCCTACACTTCGCCGAAGTTCGTTGACGATATCCATCCTTAACAAGAGCTTATATAGGTTTTGGGTGTGGGTTAAGGGTTTATAAAGGTTTAGGGTTTATATATCAGAATATGTAGCCTTAACAAAGAGCCTGCATGCTAAATCGGAAACAAGCAGACGGCCCAACTGTGTAGTCAATATAGGGACATAATTCAGCACCCCAGACTCTACACGTAGACTCAACAACCCTAAATTGCACTCCCCGCGAAAACCTGCAGTCAAGCTTGCAAACTCAAGGCAAATGCGCATACAGTTCTAAGCTCTTATCCTTAAGGCCAAAACCCTAAACCCCTAAACGCCTTTATGGAAGCCGTATGAGAGCCTCGCACACCTTAGGGCCTTAGGCAAAATTAGTACTTAGCCTTGCATACATGTGTATGTATACTTGGAGGTTCATGGGCAGTTATAAGTGGGGTTAGAACTCCCCTCATATGGGTGATAACTATAGTTACCCTACTTAAAACCCCACTTATAACTACCCCCCATGAACCTCCACGTGGACCCTTAACCCTATACCCTTATGGAATCCCTATAGGTCCCTGTAAAGGGACCCTTGAAGGAACCCTTATAACTACCCATGAACCTCCAAGTACCCCTGGTTGTACAAAAAAACGGTGGCCTCGTAGCTCTTGGAGTCGGTGTTGAAATCGGAGCAGCCTTCTAGATTTGGGGGGTACCTTTAAAGGGATCCTTAAAGGGGTCCTTAAAGGGCTCTATAAGGGTTCTATAGAGGGTTTAGGGTTTAGAGTTTCCGAAAATTGGGGGTACCTCAGGGTTCCATTAACGGGATACTACAAGGGCACTATGAGGGCTTCTTTAAAGGGCTACTATAAGGGTTTAGAGTTTCGGGAAATTGGGGGCTGCCTTATCTTGGGGTCCTTATAATATGGATCATACTATTTCTAGGAGTCCTTATAATATGGATCCTACTATTTTAGGTACTGTATTAGGGTCCCCTTTTTTCGGAGATTCCCACTTTCAATTGTTGAGATCCCTTTCTCCGGGTCCCTACGGGGTTGCGTTTTAAAGCTTTCCTGCACAAGGCCATAACGGCTTTCGCGGGGCTGTATCCTGGGATATGAGGCTTCTACTAGTTAGAGTAGAAACCGGTGTTCTTGTTCTGAAACAACCGCTCGTAGGACATAGGCACAGCGTGATATAACAGGGTTTCATTGTTGAGGAACAGGATTGCTTTCGGCCTTCACTTTTAGGATGCATGCAAGAAAAAGCGCAACCCTCAACCCTGAACCACAAACCCTCATGCAATCCCAAGGCCTTAAAAACAATAAGCCGCGAATCCCAAGTGTAGGAGGCTAGAGACTGCCAAAGCTTCTTAAGACAGTGGAGCCCATATACGTACCCTCCTTTTGCGGATGTTTTGCGCTTGGAGCACCTTATGCTTTAGCGAAGATCCTATCTGCAAGGGTCTAGATTAAAGGGTCCTAAATTTTTCGGAGACTCCAAAGCGCCCGGGATGCCCAACTCCTATACTAGCCAGTTTCATTGAAACAGCTCATGTCCGTCTGCATGACTGCATTTCCCAAGGGCGTGGGACTAGCCTTTCCTCATGTGCACGCGGGCTAGTCTTCCAGAATGCTTCACGAGAGCGGTAAGCGGAAGTTTGCACTAAACATGTGCAATGCGGTGGACTTGATCATGCCTTTGCAGAAAGAAGATGTGAACACAAAGCGAAATCGGCTCAAAGCGAGCCACATCGGGATCAACGACTGACTTGGCTGCCGCCTGAGATCTATTCAACTTTCGTGCACCTCTACACAATCTGACAAGACAATCAAGGCCGCGACCGTCCCGGATGGTCAGCAAATGCTCCAAGCCCAACAGCCTCAGCCAAGCAACATGGCTTTAAACCCAAGCGGTCGCAGCCATTGTAGCACAGTAGTCACATGCCAAAACTTGCAACAACTGGAACAGCACTGGACAAACACGTCTAGCACACCGACAAAACAGCTCAACCACCACGCCTAACGTCTAAATCCCAAACCCATACTCAACTATGAGGAGACCACAAAGTCCCGGACCACCCATTGAAACCCGATATACTATACGGCATCATACTACATTACTATGTTATACTATACGATATTATACTATGCTATACTGGGATCTATTGTTTCATGCTATATCATAGTAGGCCACAAGTCGAAACTGTCCGGGACCCGAGACTTCAGGTCGGGTTGTGCCGCGGCCACATCGGAAGGCAGGCTGCTTTGCAGCTCAATCTGACAGGGTGCTGCGTGGGGTTTAGGGTTTCCCAAAGGGTCCAAAGACCGATATAGTAGAATGTAGGGTTTTTATATTAGGAACTATTACTATTGTAATTTGGGGAAGTCTTCCCCATAACAGTACATAGGACCCTTTGGGTTTAGGGGTTTAGTTAGGGCGTACATGGGTTCAGGGTGACAGGGCACTACAGGCGTAGTGTAAAGCTTGTATCAGCTTTTTACAGGGCTTATAAAGGAAAGGGTCCTATGAAAGGGTTTGGTGCTTTTTGGGGTGGACAAAGACTTAACGGTTTAGCGTTAGAAAAATTCAGCTGGAGGGCTTGGTCGTTCGTGAGAATTGCTGTCGTGTCATATTGTCCTTGGAATCGAATTCTCTGCGAATTCAAACATTCTATGTAGTTGCGTTGATGCTGCTGAGGCCAGCTGTGAGACATTAAAAGCCTTTTAGATCTATATAAATATTCGCATAGGATAAAGCTCTTGATCTGACCAGCAAAACCTCCAAGGACATCCGGGTATCACCACAAATCACACCCAAACTCTGCTTCCCTATACACCCTTAGAGCACTTCGTTCTTGGATGAGGTCCGGCCTGCTCCGATAAGAGCCGCTCAAAGAAAGAGCGCTGGAGTAGCCGCGACGTGCCGTTCGGCCTGGGTGCCGGATTGAGGAATTGCAGCCGTAGACGTAAGGCGTAAGGCTCCATGTACTGTATAGCCTGTCAGCATGTACTCAGGCCTGAAAGGGGTTCCTAAAACGTAGCTGTTTGAAGGCCTACGTGTACACTAGCAAGGCACATGGGGCCTCAGGGGTGGGGTTCATCTTGTTTTGGTTTCGGCTTCAGAGTCTATAAGCTCTAGGCTTGGGGTTGAACTTGGAGGTTCTATGACCGTAGTGGGTGCTGTAAGGGTTCTGTACGGGTTCTATACGTTTAATTGTTGACACGCGTTCTGCAAGGGATGAGCGCTTGAAAAAAGGTCGGGTTGTATAAGGGTCCCTAAACCCTAACCCCCAGAGTATTCATTGCAAGAAGTCTTTAACAACTTTGGCCAGCTCTGATAGGCCTTGGAGTGTTGCTCCAACATATGTGGATTGTTTTGGGCTCTGTTTGGCCAAAATGGTTTCCGAAAGGATCTCTGAAGTTCTTGCAGGGTTTAGGATTTGGGGGATCATGGGCTTAATATCGGGGCCTTAATAATCAGAATAGGGTTTTGGGGCCTATTATACTCTCACTATAATGAGGAGCCCCAATAATAGTATAGTTAATCATTTAGGCCCTTATATTAGAGGCATAGAGTCCAGCAGCTCAGTAAATTCGGACATGGGGTCTAGGGCTTACTAGTAGGAGCTGAGTCTTTTGGGCATGGGGTTTTCAAGAGTCTGCCAGGTGCATCGCGTGAATGGCATTTCAAGCATCCACCCTTCCATCCATTAAGCAACAGAGTCAAGCACCGCTCTTCCAATTACAGTTGAGAGCTTCAGGGTTCGTGGCTCAAGGAGTTTATGTAGGGTTGAACAAACAACGAGTTACAAGAGCTGCCCGGCCATCGCCGCTGATCATTGATTGCCCAAAACATTACAAACCCTAAACCCCCGATGCAAAGATCACGCTGCAGCGCAGGCAGAGCTTCTGTGCGGATCTGCCCACTTCAGTCGAGCGCTGCTTTGTGCTTCAGTTCCGGCGCCACTACGTGCATGCACTTCCTTACAGGCACCCTTAAATCCTATGTATCTAGCTTTACGGCCACCTTTTTTAATACTAGAATATGTCCTACTGCCTGAACCCTAAACCATGTCACTGCCCAAAGACCAGCACAACTCCCCAGCCCTTCCGACCCATCATCACGGCTCCGGAACCCCCACCCTCAAAAATCCTTCTTCCACCGGATTCCACTCCAGGAATCTCTCGTACAAAACCAATCCCAAAGCCTTGAAACCCTAAAATCCGAAAACTACCCATAAACCTCCAAGTAGGGTTCGCAAGAGCGCTCCATGAGGCAATGGCCGACGTGGGAGCGCCGGTAGCTCCGATCCCTGACAACAGTAGGGCCGTGGGTTTAGGGTTCATGGCCTCGGGTTTAGGTTAAGCAAGTTGAATAGGGCCTTCTACTACGGGATACCAACGCAATCTATATTCTAGAACGCAACACCAAACTACGCTGGCACCCTTTTCTGGTACATGCCTTCATGTTCTGTCAGTCGCAGAGTTGCTTGAAATGCTTCTAATCTCCAGTGGATTGGTACTTCCCAGAAGTTTTCAATGCTCTATTCTAGCTGCCTTAACAGCTATTAACAGCTATTACTCTTGACACTATTGCCAAACACCCATAACCTGACGCCCAAGCCGTAAACGCGAGGCCACGGACACCCAACATCCCCGACTGACTACCCTAAACCTTAAACGCTATAGAATAAAGTGGCCTTACCTATAGCTCCATTTATACTAGACCCAAGAGTAACCTAGGAATAAAAAGGGTGCCCTTTTTGAGTTAAAGGGGGCTATAAGAGAACCTAAACCTTAAAAAAGGGCATAAGGGCCTACTCTGGGTCCTAGTATAACGACCCATGAACCCCCAATTCCTGGGCTAGATCGACTGCTCCGCGATTGGGGTTGCCTTCGGTTCGGCCCCTGGCTTTGGGAGATCGGGTTTAGGTTTTGAGTTTAAGGTTTAGAGATTCGGGTTTAAATTTAAGGGTTTAGGGTTTGGGGATTAGGTTTAAGGGTTTAGGGAGCTTAGGGTTTAGGGGCTAGGTTTACGGTTTATTGTTTAGGGGTAGGGTTTAGGATTTGAGTTTAAGGTTTAGGGATTAGGCTTAAGGCTTAATTAAGGTTTCAGCTAAGGTTTAAGGTTTGAGTTTAAGGCTAAGGGCACGTTTAGGGTTTAGGGGTTAGGTTTAAGGGCTTAGGGTTTAAGGGTAGGGTTTAGGGTTTTGGGCCTAGTTTCGGGAGAACACGGGATCAGGATTTACATGAGGTTCAGAAGGTCTAGGTTGTGCTTGAAATGCCAAACCCCTTCCACCCTTAACTATACTGAACTTAGAACCCTAGCAAAAATTCTGATTTCAGCTGCTTCTTAGGGATTGCAAGAACCAAAAAATAAAAACTAAATCTAAGTACACCTAAGTTAAGGCACCTATATGGTATACACGTAAGCCCTAACGGGGTTCCTGGAGAGGTTCTCTAAGGCGGACGTATATACTACCTGTAGGGACATACCTTAGGTACGGCCCCCATACAGTAAGAGTCTATAATAGGGCTACTATTAATTAAGGTCCTACTATATCTATATTATCAATATTATTCAACTATTATTGCTGAGTGGGGGCCGTACCCAAGTCATACCCTACTGCCGTTTTAGGGCATCCACTTGACTACTTAACAAAAGCAGATCATAACACTAAACTTACGTACCCAACAATTCGTAGGGCATGACCCTCTAGGTATCCCATAATACACTACAACATACTGTAATAGACTTTGAAATACTACGTGGAGCCTTAGAGAACCCTGCGGCCCTTTTCGCCGCCGCCCCCCGCAACCGCAGACTCACGAGGCCAGAGCATCAAGGAGCGGCCGGTGGTGCTCCTGCTGTTAGTATACAGGGTTTAGGGTTTCGGGTCTAGGGAAGAAGTTTGGGACTTGGGATCAGGCTTCGTGGTTTCGAAGTTTAAGAACTCAAGGCTTCAGGACTCACTTAGTAAGCAAACGTCATCCTAGTCTCGGCCACAGCAGCACCTCAAACTGCTTACCCCTGGCTGAAAACGAAGCCTCCAAAGGCTCGATAGTAGTTGTTCTTTCGGGAGTCCTGGCACATGCACCGACAACAACCCCGAAACTCTAGTCTAGCTGTTCAGGCCTCTGATTATATGATGTCCGCACATGCTCGCGAAATGCTAAACCCTCCAAGTAGCGATTTCAGACATTGGGGCATCATCAGGGGCCTGTCAAAGGGGCCTTCACAACCTTAACACTTAGAATAGGGTTTTAGGGTAATGGTAATAAGGACCCCCACTCAAAAATAAAATGAGTTGGTAATGTTTAAGACCCTTGCATTATGCAGTGAAGGCATCCCGTACCTTCAGGACTTCAGGAATCCAGGATATGCTTAAAGTTTATGTTTAGGACTTTTTGCTCCTAGTACTGCTTCCTGCGACTATTCCTCGATGCTGGCAAGATATGAAGTCGAAAGAAGAATAGTTCTGCGAATGGCCAAATGGCCAAACTAGTAGTAGCGCTGGACTCAGAATTCTGCAATCACAGCGAAGCCCTAAACCCTAAACCGACTCCACTTATGACTCCTGACCCTAGACCCTGAACTATACTGCACTTAGAACCCTAGCACAAATTGTAATTTTAGCTGTTTCTTAGGGATTGTAATAACCAAAAATTGGAAATTATTTAAGTACCCCTAAGTAAACCCTAAACCCTAGAAAAACGGGAACCCAGAAGCAGCGCCACTAAACTCCCCCGAAGCCGGGATCAGGGCTGGGGCTCTGTTGGAAATGATGCTCTGCTGTTTAGCTCTGAATTTTCTACGTCTATACAGGGAACTCCAGAAAGTTGGAATATGGATTAATGGTAGGATCCGCTATAATTTACCGTAAAGGGGTTACGATAATGATATTCCAACTTTCTGGCTTCTACTGTAAATCATTGGGACTCTTAGGCTCTTAGGCGGGTAGGGGGGAGGGGGGGAGAGGGGGAGGGGTAGGGGACTATACATCACATCACTATACATCCTTAAATAGGCCTTATTGAGGCCTTATTATGAACATTATGGCCCCTTACCCTCCCTCCCCCTACTTTTCTGAGGGTCGCGACGAATACACATGAACACATCCTCAGAATAAACCCTACTTGCCTACACCATATTCAACCCTGGCTTCCAAATTGAACCCATTCTCCAAATGAACCCTCTTGGAACCCTAAAGCCTTAAGGTGCACAAGGCCAGTCCGGTAATTGCTTCGAACCACCCTGACGATGAGGAACTAGTAATGGGGAAAGTGGTTTGCAGGTAGGACAACCGGAAAAAACTCTAACACCACAGCATTCAACTTTGAAACCCCCTATGATGGAAGCCCTAATCCTAATCCCTACTAAACCCCCATAGGCTAAAACCCCTTTTGGCCCTGATAGAACCCTAACAGTCCGCTTGTTGTGCGTTGTGGCAGGCTTCGGCACCCTTCAGCACGCCGATGTGCTGCAAACCAATGATGCTCCTGCGACCGCAAGACCTACTTGTCGGGGATCATGGGGAACTAAAGGTTAACCTTTTTGGTTGTATAGGGATTATATAGTCCAAAAAAGGTTCAAGGTTACCTACTCTACTACTAGGAAGAAGAGCGGTGTGGGTGCAATACCTACACCCGCTCAGTGGCGACACCATTCACCTTTCCTTCGTTTAGGGTAAGCTTCCAGCTCAACCTCATCACGGCCATGTGGTGTGTTTCTGTGTGCGCTACACAACACAAACATAAACACACATGCACACATACACATGCAGGCACACAGGATTAATGTAGGCGCCTTAATAATTAGAATAGGGTTTTGGGGCCCATTATACTATCATTATAATAAGGACCACTCCCCCCCCAAATAGTATAGGTAATCATTCAGGCCCCTATAGTAATGCTCAAGTAAACAGTTGCAAATCCCTCTCTGTCCTTCGCATGGCCAACTTCGGACGATTCGAGGTCGTGGCAAACGTCCTTCCCGGGGTCAAACCGTAAACATGAATTCCTAAAGCGTATGCAACGAGAACCCCACACCCTGAAAGCAGCCGTCAGGGAAGTGACATGAAGAATATATCAAGTGCTTATACGAAGTTCGAGTTACAAGGCTATCGCCCCAAGGGTCCAAGTACCCAATAATCATGTACTCTCCAAAATCCTAACCTACATAACTACTATCCGAAAACCGAGTACCTAATAATTGGGTCCTTTGGACCCTTGGGGATAACCCCAGACCCAGGGTCTACACAGCAGAATCCGAAGCCCGCGGCGGTCTCGGGCTCATGCTGCATCTTGAAGTGCCCAACTGTGAAGCCAATCCTGGTTCGGCTGGGGGCATCGTTGAAGTGGGTGCTTTAGTTTAGTTGATGATATAAATATAAATCCTGCATTACCTTATATCAGGAACCTAAAGTATGGGAATTGTGGTAAACTCCTTATTATGGGTAATGCAGGATTTATACCATCAACCGTTTAGTAAGGGTTCCCGACAGATCCCTATAATCGATCCCGAAACTTCTGAAACCCTGGCTTGCAGGTCCTGCGAGTTTAAAGCAGGATTGCCAACCTTTAGTTTAGCACACGGCTTGTTACAGTGTGGGGTAAATCGTCTCCCGGAGCTGTTCATCATCATTTTGGAGGATATTCGGTTGTTGGGCTCTGTGGGGCGCAGAACGTCCCAAAAGCTGCTCTAACTGACTGCAGTCGTTTCAACCCTGAGCCCAAGGAGCAGAGAAGAGGAATTACTGGAGACGATAATAAGAAGTGCTTCTCTCAATTGAGGTCCCTTTCAATGTCCCTTAGCGGGATGTATAATGAATTATGAGGATTTCTATAGGGCTCCTATTATAAAGTATGTACCATATAAGGGTAGCTCTTCAAATTAGGGTCCTGTCTCAAGTCCTTCTTGATAAGGGTGCCGTACTAGTTTGGGCACCTAACAAGGGACACTAGTTTAGAGAACTCCCCATATAGTGGTGGTGTAAGGTTTCGTTCGGTTAGTGTTGGGTTTTGTCGTCTTTTGCAGGTCAGGGTTACACGCTTAGGATCATCGGCATCGGCTTGCTGCTTCGCAGGCTAAACCTCACCCTTACACCAGACCAGAAGCCCTCAAGCCGGTGCACCTCAGGCCACCGACTGAACTCACACGCCCAAAACCATGCTCCAAACACAGCGAAACCTTGCAGTGTCGGCAAACATGTAGAATGCGACATCATGGCATACATCATCGCAACGGCGGCAATGACAAGGACAGCAACCTCGGCAGTAAAAGCAGGCACCGCAACAGTACTGATCGCACTAA